AACAAAAAAAAATTTTTAAGTGGGCGTTATAATTATGAGTGTAGGAGTCGACTTGAGTTAAAGTAGAGATTACACTGCTGTAATTTCAATCTTCTATTGGTAATAGTTTTCAAGATAAGAAACGTAACTTTTTTTTGTTGTGTTTGCGCGAATCGGAAGTAAAGATGTAATATTATCATGCCCCACTGTATCCGAATCTGAAATTACTTTAATATTATTTTCTGTAGAAAACATATTGACCTAGATATTAGTATTACTATACTTACATACTATTAAAAAAAAATGTTTTGGCTAACTTAGTCTAGCTCCATCTAATCGGTTAGGTATTAATACTTGGTTAGGACTTATCCAGATTAGGTTAGGCTAGTGCCTAACTCATTTAAATTTTAAGAATGACTTTTTCGGGTGTTTTTGTGTGTGTAGGCCCAGTATTTAAAAAAATATATTTGCCTTACTTAGACTAGCTCTACTAATCGGTTAGGTACTAATACTTGGTTAGAACTTAACCAGATTATGTTAGGTTTGGGCCTAACTCATTTAAATGTTTTGAATGACTTCGGGTGCCTTTGGTAGTGTGTGTAGGCCCAGTACTTAAAAAAATATTTTTGCTAACTTAGACTAGTTCTACTAATCGGTTAGGTACTAATACTTGGTTAGGACCTAACCAGATTGTTAGGTTTGTGTCTAACTCATTTAAAATTTTGGGAATGACTTTTTTTCGGGTGCCTTTGGTAGTGTGTGTAGACAGGGGGTTTCGTTATATATACTATATAATACTAGATTATAGATGATTTTAACATTTAATATTACATATTAGTATTACTATACTTAGTAGACTATAAAAAAAATTTTTTCATTTTTTGACTAACTCTGACTAGCTTATCTAATCGGTTATGTACTAATTCTAGGCTAGGACCTAATTCGGTTAGAGTCTAACCCATGACTGATTACGGGATTGACTTTTTTCGGGTGCTTTTTGTAGTGTGTGTTGGCAGGGGGGCTTCGCTTCCCTGCACTCCTCATCAGGAGGGTTCCGCCCCCTTTTTTACACCACTCCCTTCCCCTTTTCACTTTTATTGACAGTATATAAGCCAGGACTCTCAGAACCGGAATTACGTGACGTTTTCTGCCGCAGCGTGCTGTGTTACGTGCCGCGATCCCTGTCGCCGCTCAAGTTTACGATTTTGGCTGCGGTCCGTTTCAATCTCAAGCGCACATTTATCTATAGTATACGTGACATATTCTATAGATAAATGCGCGATTAAGCATGAAACGGACCGCAGCCTTTATCTACTTCCTCCGTCGACATATACGACCCGCCAAAATCATAAACTAATAAATACAGTTCGATAAATTTCCTCTCCTTGCACTCTCCCTAAATTCCTCGTTGCCCGTTGCATGAATCTATGACTCACTAAAAGATAAATATTACGCCCTAGGAACGAAAGTTTAGCTCACACGTTTTTAGTTTAAGACGAAATCAGTTCTCGTTCGCAACTCAGACGAGCAACACTACCTCTCGCATTAATAAAGCACCTTCCTAAAAAGTATCCTGCATATTCTTTTATCTTATTACGTGGCTATCCGGCACGTAACAGCTGCTGTATGAAAAGGTTCCGTTTACGGTTGCGGTTAGGGCAATTGTAAACTAACCCGTAGTAGTTGCCAGATTTTCATTTAATGTAAAATGACCTTTACAACACTATTGTAAAACGGCCTTTAGAACACTATTGTAAAACAGCCTTTAGAAATCGATCTCTGTGATTTGTGAATTGTGATTCAGTTGCCAGCCAGTTGCCAGTTCGAGCTGTCCGATCTTAAGAGATTACGGAGTGAAAATGTCACGCAGAGCGATCAAGACAATTAATTGGGCGGCACTTGCTGAAAAACTTCCGGAAACAGAAAAACCTGCGTTGGCTGCTTTTAAAGCCAAGTCTGATCAATACTTGCGACGGTTAGTGGAAATTATCTGTATGGAATATGTTGAGAAAAAAAATATATATATATAGAAGTTGTACACCATGTATTATGTAATAAAAGCGTATGTTCATTTTATAAACAGTAGAAATTAACTTTCAGTGATGATTAACTAAATATAGGAAGAGAGAGACAAAATAATGTTTTAGATAAAATTTATTTTTAGTTTGCGATCTGTTTAGTGACAATATTTACCTTAGAGTGTATATATAATCTAATCTAACCTAATCTATTCTAACAGTAACTATTAAATTTTTCGAGAATAAAAATTAAAAGAATCAGGGCCTGAGCACAATAGAGAAAATATTAGGAGTAGAAATTTAAAAAAAAAATGTAATGTACACTGCAAAAAAATAAAATAAAATAAAATATATAAATATTTATAAATGTAGGCTGTATATCATGCAGCCATGACATACTTCTTGTATTTATGTTATATTGTATTTTATTGTATAGTACATTTAACTTTTATTTATAATTCTTATTCCTAATATTTTCTCTATGTGTTCAGGCCCTCACATATTTGGCTACATTTCGATATTCACTGTCAATACTAAAAATTTTGACTTTGTCACATGTACTATGGATTTCCAACACTGACAATGATTATCAGAAACGCAGTCTTTATTAGTCTCTTGTAACAGTCAATGGAATTGTTATACTTACACTAGACTTTTAAACACACTATAATAAGAGTACTGCACAAAATAGAATGATTACTACTGACAAAAATATGTATATATGCACATAATACAGGTTTCAATAATCTAATAAGATAGTTTTTCAAATATAGCATGTATTTGTAATCTATATATGTATATATACATGTGTTTTTGTGTATGTGTGTAAATAATAATTTAAAATACTATAGAATATAAATAATACTATAAAAACACACACATATATATATATATACATATATATGTATATAAATAATGTTATAGAATGACTGCAAATCCAGAAATACCTCAGAAAATTGATTGGCCATATTATAAAAAGAACGTCGCAATATCTGGATTAGTTGATAAATTTCAAAAAGACTACGAGTCTCTTACAATACCATATCCTACAGATAAGTATACTTCTCAAGTTGAGGCTCAAGAAAAGCAAGTGGTAATATATTTATATAACTGTAACAATTATTTATTTTTTATACACTTACTTTCTATGAATTAATACAAATATATTGCAGCTTTCTCAAATTGAAGAATTTATTAATCAATCAAATGAACGCATCGCTAACGCTACCAAAGAAATTGAAAAAATAAAAAGTTTGTTGCCATTTTCTGAAATGACAATGGAAGATTACTTTGATGCTTTTCCGGAACAGGCTATAAACGCAGAAAAGCCTTCAATTTGGCCACATATACCCGAAGTTCAGCCAGAAAATGAAAAAGGACGACCTGACCATCATTAATGTATTGCGATATGTTTGAAATAAAATATGAAGAATATAGCTTTAGTTCATCTATAGAATATGATTTAACTAATTTAAAGATTTATTTGATCTACCAAATAAATTTATAAATCAAGGTACCAAAGTGTTTATTTTAATGTTTCATGTATTAAGTTTGTTATCTTTTTTACACACACATGTAGACGCAGATATTTTTTATGTAGATGTTGCATCATGTTACATAAACGCTTCAATATTGAGATTTCATGATAAAGATGCGACTTGCTTAAAGGCATTTATGCTCCTGCAAAAGAGCCGAATAGAAACTCGTACGTTAAATTTGATATTTAACTTATGGAAATAACACTAATCCATAAGTCATATGTAGATATTATCCATATATCGTGGATAGTAACTGTAATTGACAGTTTAAAAAAAAAATTTATATATATCAATAAATGGTTTGTTTTATTTCCCTGTAGAAACTGGCTGCGCTAGTTCAGTCCATTTTTTTCCTCTTAATCAGACCACCAGAAAATATGAATAAAAAAAAAAGATGAACTGTGAACTAGTTCAGCTAGTGCACAAAAAATAAATCAAACCTAAATTGTTTGATAAATCAAAGTATAACATTTTACGTGGAAAATTAATCTTTATTGTTTCTCAAGCACGTAAGAATCTAGCTTTTTCTATATTTTTTAAAATGTGCTTATATGTATATGTGCGCACAGGGGATTCTATTATTAATAATAATTTGTTAATAATAAATATTTTTGATCAGTTCGCTCCCGCACTCTATCTCTTATATCTCCCCAAACGCAGTCATGAAGGACCATAATCATCAGGAAAAGGATTCGATGATACATCGACCGCAGTGCTAGTTACGGTAGAAAGCGCGTTATACTATGCGGTCTCCCATAACGTAACTTCTGATTACAAAATTTATACTCTCACCACCGCAATGCTTTCTCCAGTTTTCCGTGGTTTAAACACAAACTGGCGTATGTAGAGAGCCTCACAGAGAGAAAGTCGCAAACTCGTAACGTCACTGGACAGCTTTTTCCCCTGTCCAATCAGAAGCGACTGTTTCTTTGCTTTTTGTGAGACGTTTTTGAATAACATTACAGGGTTTTCTACAATAAGATATTAGTAATAAATCAGATTCAGAAGCAAGAAATTGACCAATCACAATCTAATCACAGAAGAATAATCGATTGTGATTGGTCAATTTCTTGCTTCTGACTTCTGATTTATTACTAATATCTCATTGTAGAAGGCCCTTTACTGGTCCACTGAGGCTGCGGTCCGTTTCATGCTTAAGCGCACATTTATCTATAGTATACGTGACATATATTACAGATAAATGCGCGATTACGAATGAAACAGACCGCAGCCCGAATGTTCCATGACTGTTCCGATATTCACTGCCAGTACTAAAAATCTATACTTCACGTCACATATGCTATGGATTTTCAATACTGGCAGTGAATATCGGAACGTAGCCCAAATCTGCACCAAACCAAACCAAACTTAAGCAAACCACTTGTACAAAAATACCTGTAATACTAAGTATTAGTAATTGTTTAATAATTTCTACATGGATACGTCACAGCTGAGAAATGTATATTTTTTTTATATACTTTTTAATAAACTATATTTGGTGATATCTAAGGGCCTGAGCGTAATAGAGAAGATATTAGGAATAGGATTGAAAAACAGAGGTTAAATGTAATGCACAATGCGAAAAAAAAATAAAATATAACATAAATGTATATAAATATAGGCTGTATATCACGCAGCCGTCACATACTTCCTGTATTTATATGTTATATTTTATTTTTTGTCATTTTGTATAGTACATTTATAACTCTTCTATTTCTAATTCTTATTCCTAATATTTCTTCTATTGTGCTCAGGTCCTAATGGTGAATCCTTGGATTATTGGCATCTAATTTGTTGGAAGTGACTTTAAACTATTGAAAAAAAAGTCTGAAGAAAACGTCGAGCATTTTGTTTGAATGTTTGAATGAATATACTCTAGTAGTTTATTTAACTATAAATGACATTTTTGTAAAAACAAAGAAAGAAAACATGCTGAGATAAATTAGTGACCCAGGGTTTCATTCTTAGGATTATTACTTGATTGAAATTATATTGTTTTTACTAAGTGATAAACAATAGACAAACATTTTTTGTTCATCTGGTTTTAGTTCAAAGATTTTCTTCTGCTTTATAATCAAATATCTGAGACTTGCTTTAGAAAATGTACAAATACTTTTCTGTCTCGAGAAATTACCTCGGATGAAGTAAGTATGTAAAAATCTTGTGTAGATTATATCAATAGAAACAAAATCTAAGATGTGTTTGAAATTTCAGGATTTTTGCATAAGCAATTGTGCACAGAAATATATTAACGCAAATCATAAAGTAATGGAAATATTCATGGAACTACAACCTATAATGGTACGTAAAAGAATGGAAGAAATAAACAGCGCTCAGGAAGCATTAGTAAATCAGAATCATCAAGTAGAACAAAAGACAGAATAATCTATATTTATCGTTGTTTTATATATTTGATATTGTACATATTTACTGAAATAAATAAAAAAAATAATTACAGTTGTGTACATGTATAATGATCCAAAAATGTACATATATGTACACACACCCACATTATATGTATATATGTATACATACATATACATTTATATATACATATACATACAAAATCTATATAATAAAAAATACATTGATATGATTTTTGTTCATGATTCTTGGAATGAAAATTCTCGAGCTACTAAAATAGTAACGGATAGACCATTCTCCGATAAAAATATAACTGTTTTAAGACATTTTTGACTGCATGTTATTGTGGACCTTATTTTTTTAAACAAAACTCGTATTCAGAACAATAAGTAAGTTGATAACTTGAATGAAATTTATTGATTGTTATGCAAGTGATACAAGCTACATATACATGTATATTAAGAGTATAAGGAATCTCCTTTTATTTTTTGTATATATACATTTTTATATATTATATTTGAAATTTAATCAAAACACTTCTTGAAACATCATATATATTAATTTATATTTTTATATAAAGATGATGATTTTTATATAAAGATTTATGATCTTGATGGTAGCCGATCGTTGAAACGAGTTTACACATGCAAGTTAAAGGAGTGTGAAACAGTCATGGACAATTTGGCAGCTTAATTTGAAAGTTAAAGGAAATTATTTTATTCAAGTTTCTTATATATGTCACTTGTCATCATATATATACATACATGTGTGTGTGTGTATATATATATATATATATATATATATATATATATNGTTAAAATATACATTATTACATAATAAATATATCATAATAATAAGTATATTATACAATCAGTAAAATCGAAATCTTAAAGATGAAAATTCAAGTCGTTATCAATTTTCGCAATTACTTTCTGCAGATATCAAATCAAAATGTGATGTTCTATTAGAGATCTATCTTTTTATGTCGTATTTAGAAATAGCGTGCTTCAAAGAGTTCATATACGAGTATGACAATGTACGCAGTTGCTTTTTGTGTATATTTGTCTCGCATTCGGACTGTCAAAATTCGGATTGATAAATCGGTTTGTTCTATAGTGTAATTTCAGTATTTATTGTGAAAAACTCAAAGTGCTAACAACACAAAGCGCAAACGCGCAATTTTTTGCGGTCAGATTGTGAGAAAGTGAGGAAAAAATATATAGAATATAGGATAGAGATATTGTAGGAGAACACGCGCCAAAATCACAAGTCAGATAATATAATAAAATATAATCAAACGCGGAGTATCTGGAAAGTAGTCAATCGATTAATCAGTCGTCTTTTTTGTATTTCGCGTCGACGTTAATCCTGTAATCAGCGAATCAATAATCGTATACATATTCCGGCCTTCTTCTCTGCTTCTTAGACGGATATTCGATCACCTTATCGAGATTCTGAAATAGACATTAATATATTCGAATTAGCTGTTGTAATTATCTAAATATTAGATTAAGCTATTTTTTATATTAATTTAATATTTTCATGAATTATTATTAGTTATTATTAGTTTTTATTACTATTGTATTTATTATTTTGTTTATGTTAATGTCATTGTAAACTAAATAAAACATTTATAGTTCTTAATAAAATATCTATTACTTCTTAATGGACAAGCGAAGAAAAAATATTAATTAATTAACGATTATATACTTACATCGTTGAGAAGAGCGATCAAGAATTTAATTCTTGGAATTGCACAGCTACTATCCTCGCAATCGGAATGCGGAACATCCACGGGGAATAAACGTTTTCTCGTTTGTGAACCTCGGCAATCTTTATGGTAAGGTTCTGATCTATAATAATAATTACAAATCATCTTTTATACTGTTGCGTTTTGTTTATTAAAAAGTGAAAGTTATATGTATAAATTTACGAAATATGCGAAACTTACTCGCAATCCACGGCATTAGCCCAAGACTCGAAGCAGCACAGAGCAATAGCGAGAATGATCAAAGATCGTTGGAAGAATTTCTGAAAATTTACATTAAAATTTACGCTGATGAAGACTTAAAAGTTTTGCTACAAAAAATTAGTATTGTTTTCTTTTGGTTAGTCTTATTACCATTAATTAAGTAATTTATGAATTGTTAATCATTTTTGAAAGAATACTTATATCGTATAATAATAATGAAAAAAGCTGAAGGAAAGATTCTCGCGCTTCGGAGCTGTCGAAGACAAAATTTTAATTTTAATGAGCTTCTAATAATGAGCTTTTTTATAGTGCAAAGGGTGACAATTGAGTGATTAAGCCGATTTGCTTTAATTAGATACACGTGTCAAATTAACGTCGTCGATGTGAAGATGCAAAAACGCTGAAGAATTCTGCCCATCTGTGCACAAAACGAACATTGTTCAAATTAAATATAACTAACCTTACATATATCAACGAAAACCCGGAAGTTATCCCGTAACAATATCGTACGCTCGTGTTAAAAATACTCGCGCGAAAGATTGTTTTTCTTTTCGTATTGCAAATCGATATTCGTACTGCTATTTGTGATGTTGGCGAAAACGACAGCGACTGCCGATTATTAGAGTCGGCCAATTTGCAGTACCATATATTATTATTTCCGGAGATGTTCTCGTTTGCGAGGTGGCAAAAGGCCCACGCTTCCTGGATCGTCCTCGGTTTTGCATCGATCGGTCGACGAGGATACAAATGGAGAAAGGAAGGACGATGGTCAAAGTTGTTGAATAAATTTTGAAAGGTGACGCTTTTGCGTTTATGCGTTTCGCGCAAATCTAGTCGTCAGATTTTCTGCGTTTCGTTTATCTAACGTGCCGATCGATCTATGTATATTTGCGCAATATATCGTGTACTCAACGATATCACGTATACAAACGATATAGCGTTTAACATTTAATGTGCAGTAATTGTGAGTGTTTACTCGTGTTTACGTAATAGAACGGTCTTCCATTGTTGCATAAAGTTTATCGGGAAAATTATTTAATTTAGATATAGTTCTCTTGCATGGCTTCCGGTATAATGTCAATATAAAATTACACAAACGGTCAGAATTTGGATGTTTTTTGGATGTAAAAAGAGTTGCGTCAAAAATGTCTGAATAATTATCTTAACGATTGATGTGTATCTTTATGCATTAAGATATCAATAGAATATCGAATGTATATTATAGATACATATTCAAATATTTTATTTATCTATTTACTTTGGATAATTTATTATACGTACTCATGAGTTCGTAAAATTTACCTAATAACAGTGCAGTTAATAAACAAAGTACTGTTATAATTTATATCTTATACGTATGTAAAAGAGATGAAAGTGAGCAAATTATGTATTAATACAATATAAAGTTTACCAAAGGACTTTTAATCGGAAAACAGTCAATAGGGAGATACGATAATACGATTATATAGTTAATTTTAGGTAATTGGCGGCTATCGTAATTGCGGAAATTATACAAATGGATTTCCTGGTATTTATAGCAATAAAGCTTGTTAAATCCTGTAACTTTATTATATATATTGAGCTGATCATTTGCGCTGTGTCATGAACGTTTTAACAGTTTTTCCACTTTGGGAATTAATATTTTCAAATTTTTAATTGCACTGTAAGTACAACTGATAATTAAATAAAAAATAAATTTATATGCTAATAAATCGATATGTTTACGAAGCTTTATTGTGTTACACTTTATACAAAATAAAACCAGTCTCTTTTTTTTATATTGCGTAACTCTAGAAGTGAAATAATCAATTGAATAAATTATAAAATAATCTCAGAGAAGATCAAAGTAATATTAAGTAGTTCTATGGAAAGGAAGTGTTGTAATTCATGATTTTTTATAATTTCATTTAGTACACATTTAGTACACTTTAATACACGCTTGTCTCTTATTTATCTATAAAAATATATATTTATTTTAAATATTATATTTATTTTAAATATATATTTTTATAAAATCAAAATTTGAATCGTTTAATGTATATAATAAAAAAAAAGCGTCACGAGTATCGTCGTATTTAGAAAACAATATTTGTCGCAAGATAACACACAGCTATATTAAAGAATTTTATCAGAGTTCGAGCAAAAAAAGAAAAGATCACACATGCTTCAACGAAGACAACTATGGTTTAATGTAAAACGTGATACTTTGGTCCGTGTTGATTATTAAGCAACATATACTAGGTAAACAATCCTAATCAGAGTTAATTCGCATCTATCTTCGTATACGCGAATACGATGTCGAGTGGTAGCAACTCATCTCTGTTAATCTACCTGTGACATACATGCACATTCTGTTTTTTTTTTTTTTTCTTTTACAAATAGTAAGCTTAATTTCGTACTCTTGTCCGTTGTTTGCGGATAATTTAACACTGTCGCACAATAGTGCGAGAGACATCAGATTTACAACATTCATTCTCTAGTAAAGGTCACAATAAATGCACGGTATTATGAATATCTTCCTATCACTCAGGATAAGAGGAGGATAATTTATGTCTCTTAGTCATGAGTGGTGACTACATTTATGGCCTGCAGTCGAAATATGATCATAAACTCGTAATAATTTCAGTGGCATAATCATTGTATGAGAAGTAGCCACGACATTTTTGATGTTAACTCAATTATAGTTATTGTGTCGTTAAAAATACGATGCCGTTAATGCTGCACGTTATGCAGCATAATGCAAATGCGTGATATATGAGGTGCGTTCGCTTTGGGCGCTTACGCGCTTTAAGCGTCAGTCTATCTTTGTTCTATATTTAAACAACAATAAAGACAGACTGACGCTTAAAGTGTGTAAGCGTCCAAAGTGAACGCACCCATGGTTTGTTTGATTCCGTTTGAACTGTCAATTTAGCAAATAAATTGTGCTCACTCAAATATACAAAAAAATCTGTCTAATAATAATAAAAAAAGATAAAATACGGTAATTACGTTAGTATATAATGCTATATTTTTATTAGGACATACATTATTAATAACACAGCAGATAATTTTAAAATAAACAATTTGAAATGGTTTGATACGAGAATTCATACTCACATAGCTATTATTTAATTAAGTA